CTCTACGGCTGGCAGAATCTGCTGGTTCCAGCGACGAAATATCGCGCCGTATCCTCGCACCGAGATGCGCTGTGCCCAGTTGGAACCGGATGGTCTTTCGGTTCGCCAAGGACGGCTAATGAAGGAATTCAATCCGACTGAAGAGCCCTCAAATGGCCTCATTCAGGAGGACGATGCGATACTGTGGACCCCTCTTTACAAGTAACTGCTTGAACTTAAAATCTGCATACGGATACCCAAAAAGAACTATATTAGTAGTCGTATGATAGGGGAGGGTCAAATAGTAAACTTTTAGTAACTGTACAACTGGAAAAAAATGGTCGTATCCTTGAAGGGATAAATTACCCGGGGTTTGCACTAACGGCTCAAAGAGATGAAAGTGCTAGCAAACCTTTCTCACTGAGCTTTTAAATTTTATTTCATTAAAATTTAAATCAAGAAAATGCTGCAGTTAGCATTCAAAACGAATGCGCTTAAAGAAGTTGCAAACAAAAACGGCATTCAGTTCTTGCCATCCGAAACATATCCTAATTCCTTTTTTAAATATGAAGTGTTTATTTTCCAACGTTAGGGGAGACATATTGCGGGAAACAGGTGTCCCACGCCATCTCAGGAGTCAATATTACGAACAGTCTGAATTTACTAGCATCGTTGGTGTGATACTTTAACACAGTGATTTAGAAGTATTCTTAAGTCATGTTGCTACAAGAGATACATGAGGGCGATATTTTCAAGGTAATTAGCTGACTGCAGTGTTGTTATGTTTCTTTACGTGTGGCCATATTTTTTATGCATACTGATATTCACTTAAACGAGACGATTTTCTTGAGATAACCAATACTTTGCTTATGTAGGCGCATGTATCGATCCCTGAACCCGTCCAAGATGGTTTTCGTGAAGGGAGTCTGCTGTTCCAATGGTTTTCAGTCAATCACTGTGCACAAGATGTGCAGGAATTGTAAGTTGTTCTTTTTGCAGCTATAAGTTTTTTAAGCAGACATGTCTTTTTCTATCTTACGTAAACCTTT